AAAGACACATAACCTGCCCCACGGGGCTTCACAGGAGACTCTGTGTTTCAGCACAGCATCTAGAGTACATTCATCTGTCTTTCATCTAGCTAGGAAGCTCCAAAAATATACAGGATTAGTGGGACGTACAGAGGATCATACATGAAATGAAAATGATCATACAAGTGTCATGGCAGGGGACATTTAGGGAGTTGTGAGTGCACGCTGGGGAACAGCAGAGCAATAGGAGGACTGAGGGATGCTCTCAGATTTGCAGGGTCTGTCAGACTAGGAATGGAGGGCAGGATATATTCCAGGCAGAGAGGAGCTCAGGAAGGGACTCCATTATTCCCAAGGGCTACAGGTGGTTAGTGTGGCCCCTCATTGGACCAAAGAATGGCCTGAGGAGGGACTCCAGTGGGCGAGGGGACAAAAAAGGTGACTCAGCCAGCACTTTTCCATTCCTCTAGGTTCACTTGTGGCCTTACATTCACCCCTGTATTACTGACCCTGGAACAACTTCAGGCAAAACTGGGAGGGGGTCACACTGGGTCTTCTCTTACCTATCACCCCTCCCTTAGTATCTTCATCTCCTACAGGCCTCACCCATGACCCATACAAGAATTCTGAGGTCCTTCATCCAGAGTCCCCAAGTAACACAAAATCCTCCAATTGGTGAAGCCTTGGGGTCCCCCCAGTATAACCCTGACGGCAGATATAGGGTTACAGCTAGACTCTGACTTGAACAGGCTGGCCAATAAGAACTGTACCCATGAAATGGAGACTTTGTGTTTATGCTCTTGCCCCATTTTTGTTTCTTAAAAAAAAAAAAAAGCACATTTTTAGGAACTTTCACACTAGAATATCCTCTTCAAAGCAAGAGTTCAATAACAAGATTTTTTCATTACAATTTCATTTCATACATAGCAATATGACTTTAAAGAGGGTTGTGTATAAAGTGGAGGTGCCACATTTGACATTTCTTTGAAGTACTAAGGACCCCTAGGGCAGAGCTGAGCCTGATATTTATTATTGTTGATTTTCACAGCAGACTTCATTTTCCCACTCTTTATCTCCAGACTGAAGAACGATGAACAAAGTCAGCACAGATCTGCACACTTCAAAATGTCCACAAAAATCTGCAATTCAGGTTATCACAGGAGGTTTAGGTTAGGGACTGCATGACTAAAGAAGTGGGTGGATGGAAAGCAAATCCTGGAAAGAAAGTATACATCTACTTCTTTAGAAGGTTCACTAAAGTGCTGCTGATGGCTGGACAAAGAGCCAGGAGGTGTGGATTTAGGGATTTTATGTTTTGTTTTGTTTTTTGTTTTTTGAGACAGTCTCACTATGTCACTCTCTGTAGAGTGATCTGCTGCCAGAGCTCACAGCAACCTCAAACTCTTATTCTCTTGCCTCAGCCTCCCAAGTAGCTGGGACTACAAGCACCCGTCACAACACCCAGCTATTTTTTGTTGCAGTTGTCATTGTTGTTTAGCTGGCCCTGAGCCAGGCTTGAACCTGCTAGCTTCAGTGCATGTAGCTGGCACCATAACCACTGTGTTACAGGTGCCAAGCCAAGGGCTTAGGGTTTTTCTTTGTGGAAGGGAGCCCTCCTGCTTAGCAGAATCAGTTCCAAGCTACAGGGAAGGGAAGCAGCCACAGAAACTGCCTGCCAAATACCCAATTGGGACCAATTTCCAGTGTGGAGCATAAGGTTAGAAAGTCATGGTTTGAGCAAGATCAGGCCTTGACTCATCCTTATTTTTATTCCTTCCTTTTTTTTTCTTTTTTTTTGATACAGAATCTGTTGCCCAGACTAGAGTGCTGTGGCATCATCATAGTTCACAGCAACCTCAAACTCCTAGGCTCAAGGGATCCTCTTGTCTCCGCCTTCTATAGCTGGATCTACAGGCACCCACCACAACACCCAGATAATTTTTGTGTTTTTTTGTGGAGATGGGGTGTTGCTCTTGCTCAGGCTAATCTCAAACTCTTGAGCTCAAGGGATTCTCCCACCTCGGCCTCACAAAGTGCTGGGATTATAGGCATGTAATCCTGACCTCTTCTCATTTTCTTTCTGAAGCCAGTGTACCAACAAGCCTTAAGCCTCCGATAACCCCGAGGCTGTGTAAAAACACAGGCCAGGACCTATATTGAATTTTTTTCCAATTCTGCTGCTAGACTCTGAAAAAACTTTTTTTTTTTTTTTTTGAGCCAGAGCCTCAAGCTATTCCCTGGGTAGAGTGCCATGGCATCACAGCTCACAGCAACCTCCAACTCCTGGGCTCAAGCGAGTCTCCTGCCTCAGCCTCCCAAGTAGCTGGGACCACAGGTGCCCACCACAGTGCCCAGCTATTTTCTGGTTGCAGTTGTCATTGTTATGTGGCAGGCCTGGGCTGGATTCAAACCCTCCAGCTCTGGTGTATGTGGCTAGCGCCTTAGCCACTTAAGCTATAGGCACCAAGCAGACTTCTTGAGGTCTTAAAGAATCCCGTTCAAGGCTGGAAACAGGCTCAAGGTGCAATCAGTGAGGTTTCCCACCCTTTCCTCCTGTTTTGTCTAGTCATGCCAGTCAAGAAATGAGGAGCAACAAATGATTGAGATAAAGGAGCAGCACTTCTCTGGGTTTGCAGTTTGAGACACAAATCACCTGGGGATCTTCTTCTACTTCAGATTCCAATTCAACAGGTCTGGGCACTGCTCCCAAGTGCCAAGTTGAGCAGATTTGGGGCCTCAGACCATACTCTGAGCCACAGCCACTAAAGAAATGTTCTAACTTGCATCAGGTTGCCCCAGAAGCCAAATCTAAAACTACTTGAAATTCTGTAGGCTTCCAGCATCAGAGTTTCATCCTACTCTAAAGCCCTGAGCTTCCTAGTTGGTCTCAACTGGCTGCCCCATGCTCATTTCTCCCCACAGTCCCTTAAAATGTCTGTGTTGGAGTAGGATGCTCCTGGGCTTTTCCTACCCGCTGCAGCAGAGCAGCCTGCAGTCATAAACAAGTCTGTGGCTTTTCTCAAGCCCAATAATCTGTATGTAGTTTAGGAAATTTCCCTTGAAGGAATGTCACTACCTCTGTCCACTCTGCTTTCCAAGGATCCATCTCTTGGGATTTTTAATTTGCTTGTTTACTTCACATGTGTCTTGGTTTTGAACTCTGTCCATATCTAGCCCTCTGGCCACTCTGGTGTTTCTCTTGACAGGAATTATAATTCTTCACCTTTATAATGATAGTCCCTGACACTAAGTCCTTGGCATCTAACATAGTAAATATTTAGCAAAATTAAATGAAAATTTTGCAGAATGTAATTTGGCAATCTACATGAAAGGTTTTAGAGATATGTTTCATTTCTGGCCTAGGAATTCTTTTAGAAATTGATTTTAAAGAAATAATCAGATACTAATGAATTCAAAGCATTATATAAAAGCTAAACAATGGAAAATCTTAAATATCCAAAAATGGAGTAATTACAAATTATACCTATATTTACATATGTAGCTTTAAAGAAAACTTATTTTTTAAGAATAAAAGGGTTTATTATAGATTATGAAGTGAAAACCAAGTTGCAAAACTGGATAAATAGCATGATCACAAAATATATATGCAGAAAAATAATGAAAATACACCAAAAGATTGACAGAGATGATTATTTAGTAGCACTACAGATAATTTTTGTTTTCTTTCATCTCTTTGTAGGCTGCAGATTTCCTTTTGCAATGAATTTACGGTAAATTTCTAACTACGTAACTTGTAAATTACACAAAAAATTCATAGTGTACTTTATAATAATTTTTTTTTTAGAAAGTGACATGTCTTCTGAACGTCATCACAAATTTCTCAAGGGCAAAGACTGTGTCTGGTTTCAGCCCCCTCTTTCAGAGGCCTCCTGATCAGTAAGTACTCAAGTAACCAGTGGCTCTCAACTTTCCTAATGCCTTGAACCTTTAATACAGTCCAAAGAGGTCGCAACCCACAGATTGAGAACCTCTGGGTCAGACCTAACCCATTTTCTTTTTTCTACTTGCTGTCTTAGAAAAAGTCTTTCTTGGCTCGGCGCCCCTAGCTCAGTGGTTATGGCGCCAGCCACATACACTAGGGCTCGTGGGTTTGAGCCCGGCCCGGCCTGCTAAACAAAGACAACTACAATAAAAAAAAAAAAATAGCCGGGCGTTGTGGCGGACACCTGTAGCCCCAAGCTACTCGGGAAACTGAGGCAAGACAATCGCTTAAGTCCAAGAGTTTAAGGGTGCTGTCAGCCATGGTGCGACATAGTGAGACTCTGTCTCAAAAAAAAAGAAGTCTTTCTTCTCATCCTCATCTCTTTCAATTCTACCTCTGATTTACTGTGCCTTAGGAGACTGCTTTCCTGAGACCGTTCTCCCACACCGTCAACAACCGGCAAATGGTACAGGCAGGTGAAGCCCCAAGGAACCAGGTCTCCAGTGGCCCTCATTACCATTCTCTCAAATAATTACCCAAGACTAAGGCAAAACTCAGTCCCTTTCCTAGGCCGCCCGCTGGAGGCAAACAAAACAAGACTGGTTAGGGTTAGGGTTATGCGAAGCTTCCTTACTCAGACCCGGGTACTGCAGAGAAACTAAAGAGCACCAACCAGCAACCCGCCTCCGAGTCGCTGCTGGGGCGGGGCGCGGGTGGGTCCTCCCGGCCAAGGGGGCGGGAGCAGAGAGGGCGGGCCGGGGGCTGGGAGGTGGGACGTGGGGCGGGGCGCTGTGGAGTGCAGAGCCGGGCGCGGACCCGAGGCGGAGGAGGTGGGGCGGCGCGCGCCGCCGTCCTCCGCGCTCCTCCCGCGCGCCGCCCCTGGAGTCTCCGAGGCGAGCGGCCAGCCCAGCTCCGGCCCGCGGCACAGAGAGCAGCCGCAAAGAGAGCAGCCCCGCAGCCGAGCGCTCGCCGGCCGGGGGCTGGGGGCTGGGGCCTGGAGGCCAGGGGGTCCCGCCCCGGGGAGTCTCTGTGGCCCTCGAGCAGCGCGGCGAAAGGGAGGCAGACCGGGGCCGAAATCATGAACCGGAGTTTTCACAAGTCTCAGACCTTGCGCTTCTACGACTGCACCGCGGTGGAAGTCAAGAGCAAGGTAAGCCCCCCTCCGGGACCGCTCGGGACGCTCTTTATCCCCTCCCCTGGCAAATGAATGGGGCGCCCGGCGGAGGATTGGGGCAGTGTGGGAGGCGACAGGCGCCGGCGACAACTTTCGAGCTCGGCGCTGTGCGCCGCTGCGCAGGGTCTGTAGGATGTGCCTGGGGGACCCTGGCCGTCCTTCCTGCCCCCCGAGCGGACACAAAGCCTGGCAGCCCCGGGAAGGTCCGGTTGGGGCCGCGGCGGTTAGAGGGCCGAGGGCCATCAGACGATCGGTGCAAGTTCTGGACCTGCTCTGCGGGAGCTGCTCTTTTGTTCCACGAGCGAGAGGCGACCCGGGCGCGCCACACGTTGGAGGGGAGGGCGGCGTTTCCGGGGCGAACTAGGGGCCACGGGCTGCTCGGATTCCGGGCCGTGGAAGGGCCTCTGGGGGCCTGGGCTGGGGGATGGCCCGGGCCACGCCGCCTCCAAGGCTGCCAAGAGGCTTGTTACCGGCAAGGAGACTGGCCGCCGGCTCCCTAGCAGGGTGCCCCCGCCCATACCCTACTCCCACTGCACTTAATACCAGATTCTCCCAGACACCGGTCGCAACGTCCCCGACCCAGACCCCGCTGGGCGCGGCCCCCCATCCCCCCGAACCCAGACCCTCCTCAGGCGCGGCCCAGACAGGGACTCCCGCCCCCCTGGCGTGTCGGGCCCCTCCTGCTGCCTGAGCCTGGGCAGAGCGTGCCCGAACTTGCGGGTCGCAGTGCTTGTCTGGGTAATTGGCTGATAGAATCTGGCGGTTCTGCCCTTCGCGGGGGCGGCTCCTTCGCTGCAGACGCCTTTGTCTGTGAGGGTCTCAGTGGCGGAACCTGCAACCCTAGGAGGAGCTGCAGTTTGTTGTTCGGAGTCCTGTGGGAGGGAGTCCCTCAGGCCTTGCGGCTACTTTGAGCCGAGGGGCCTTCCTGCCCTTTTTCTCTGTGCACCCCAGTTCTCGGTAAAGCGAGGCGGAGGGTGATGGAAAAAGACCCTGGCCGCAGAAGGCCATGGCCCCCACTCTGATCATACCTTGAGAGCGCAGGGCGGGTGTTTCGTCCCAGGTGCAGCCTTTGGTGTGGCTTTCCAGTGTCCTCAGAGGATGGGGGGTGGTTATAGCAATGGACTGGACCACTTCTCATTGAGTTGCAGGGCTTCCTTCTCATCTTCGGTTGCATAGTCTTTTTTCAAAAACCCTCATCTCTGTTGCATCCTGCCCTTCCCCCTGGATGCTGGTAATCCCACCTCACACCCCTCTCCTCTGGAGCACAGGAGTGCCCATGCCCCCAAATATAGTGTACTGGCTGTTGGGGCTGAGAGGGAGAGGGAGAGAACCTGCGGTGGGAGTGGGAGGACTCTTTAGCTCAGCGGGAGCCTGTTTCCTAGAACTGCACTGTCCAGCGCATATGGCATCTGATCTCTGCTGACTTTTTATGTTGAGGTCATTGTAGATTCAAGAGCAGTTGTGAGAGAGAATGTGGAGATCATGAATACGTTGCCTGGCCTCAACCGAAGTTAACATGGTTTGTGACTGGCACAATGTCACATCCCAGATTCTGGTCTATGGGGTCTCACCAGGGCAGCAGGTGCTGCTTTGTGCCTCCTCCTCTGTGATCCCTTTACAGTGGCTATCCAACTTTAGGGGATCACTGAGCACTCTGTCCTGGTGGTGTTCAATCACATGTCCTGTGCGCTGGACTCCAAAGGCTGGAGGCCCTGCCAGGCCCTAGGATGGATCTGTGGGAAATGCCCTCCCAGGCCTCACTCTGAAGTCCTAGCCTCTGCAGACTGGAAGTGTAAAAGTCTGCCTTTGCCTTTTTGGTGCTCTGGGACCTGTCTCCTCCAACTCTGCTCAGCATGGAAGGGCTGTGGCCACTCCCCCAAGCTAGGTTCAACCTTAGATGCAATGATGCATCTAAGAGATGCACTAAGAGAGTGGGGGCAGAAGGTGCATTTTGATTGTACTTGGCAGTCCTTGAAAGGGCCACACCACCTTGGGCCCTGCAGACTTGCAGCTGTGCTGTCCTCCATGACTTCTTGTCTACAGGGTCCTTGTGGCCCTTCCCTCTGTACACAGCCTCCCACTTAATCCTCTGTAGCTAATATTTGTTACCCTGGAGTCCCTCTCTGCAGTGAACCATTGTTGTCAAAATATAGGGGCAAACTGTATGACAATGATGTCTTTCCTCAACCTAAATACAGCACCATAACACTCATGGGTTTATTTGTGGGGAAAATGGCAGCTAAAGAGCTGAGTCCAGCCTGGGTTCTACCAACTACTGCCTTTGTGAGCTTTCAGACAAATCATTAACTTTCCCAAGCCTTAGTTATCTCATCTGTAAAATGGGCATTATACTTGTTCTGCTTACCTCCCAAGATGAATTGAGGCAATTAATGTGAGAGCACGTTTACTTAAGAACTGCAGGTCTGGATCCTTTGGCATTTCAAAGTATCCACTTGGAAAACTGTCTTAGGTTCTCTCAGACTTTTTGTTATTCACTACCTGCCATAGCTGATCAGATCCCAATGCCAAGGGCAGGAGGGTCTCCCCTATTATAAAGCCCCTTACGCTTTCTCAAACATTTTTACTTTAATCCCAGTGATTTGTCTGTTTCTCCTTATACCAGCATTGTGATCACTGCTGCCCTTTTCCCCACTTACCTTTGACTTTTGCCGCTCCTTCCACAAGACATATGTCTGGGATGGGAAGTGGGAGTAGGCATGTGTGTATGGAGGGGAAGTGGTGCACATGTTAGGGCAGGGTGTTTCAGGTTGAGGGAAGCCAGTGCAAGTGCCCAGGCTGCTTTAGAAATTAGCAGAAAGGGCTCGGCGCCTGTGGCTCAAGTGGCTAAGGCGCCAGCCACGTACACCCAAGGCGGTGGGTTC